AGTCTGATCCTGATCTGCAGAGATATTTGACCCACACACAGACAGACACACACACAGACAGACACACACACAGACAGACAGAGATTTCTTGCTTTATCGATAAATGTCTCGCCCACAGTGAATTCGTTACACCTTCATGAGTAGTGGTAGAGTAATAATTCAATATTACATATTGAAGATAAGGTTGAAAAGTTATTTTTTGCAGCATTTAATTAAACATGAAATACAGCAGCAATACCACTGTTTAGACATAAACATACACTGTAAGTGCAGAATGGGCCCTTTCAAAATAATATATCTTATATGATTGGATTATATTTATTGAGGTATTAGTATGTTCATATTTAATTAAGGTAATTAAATTAATCAAGTTTAACAACTAACTAAAGTTACTAAATGTAGTGGAGTAAAATGACAATATTTTCCTCCAAAATGTAGAGTGGAAGTATAAAGTAGCGAGAAATGGAATATACTCACTACTTTATACTCAAGTAAAGTACCTCAAAATTGTACAGTACTTAGTAGTAGTAAATGTACTTAGTTACATTCCACCACTGGTTATTCTAAATTTTGCCACTTACATATACATTTTTATTGAAAATGTTTATCAGCTCCAAATATCGGTTTCCGTGATTACTACTTGTAGGTGGGTGAGTGTGCGCATGAATGTGGGTTACATATGTAGGTATGCGTGGTTATTTTTTTTTATTTTTTTTTTTTAAATACGCAGAGGAAAGATTGCTCAACCAATTTCGTTGTAACATCTGTGACAATGACAATAAAGGAACTCTGATCCTGATTCTGATTCTTATCTGTATCAGCCCAGAAAAAGCAATATCGGTCGATCCCTAGTAGAAATATACATACACACATACATATAAACATATACAGTATATATATACACATACACATACATAGATTCGTACACATGTAAACAGGTTAACAATAAGTAAATAGTATAAGGTAATGTGTAACAGTTTGGTTACAGCAATGAGCTCAAGAGTTCAGCAGTTTTAAGGGATAAAGCTGTCCTGAGCCTGATGTTTTGGGACCGTCAGCTGGGGGTGACAATCCTTGCTGGGTGGTCCTCTATGGATGGCAGCTCAGCTCATGTGCAGAGCAGTCCCAGGATGTCAGATATACATGGAGTGGATGATTATGTGCAGTAAACACATCATAATGCGAGTGCTCTGTGTCCCTGTGTGTGCAGTGGTGTCGGTGTCCTTCGACAGAGAGTCCTCGATGACCTTTACCTTCCAGGAGCCTTTCTCAGTCATGCGGAACAGAAGCTCCCAGGCCTCCAGTGCTCGCAGAGAAAGCATCGGCAGGGCCAGAGAGGATGTGGCCTTCACCTTCATCACCTCCCAGAGCCCAGCCCTGCTGCTGACTGTCATCACCTTCAGCAAGCAGTACATCGCTGTCATCCTGACTCACAACGGTAGGCACGTCTGACTTTTCACAGGACAAGCATTTATAAAGAGAGACAAGACAGCAAGTTGTCTTGCTCATGGTGGGAACTGTTGGGCCTCTAGATAATATTATAAGGAGTATGGTCTAGACCTGCCCTATTTGAAAAGTGTCATGAGATAACTTCTGTTATGAATTGGCGCTATACAAATACATTTAATTGAATACATAAGTTATAAGAAATACAAAATTTTGTCAAATTATTAACCCTAACCTATGACATCAACCAGAGCCTTCTATAGCCGTTCCTTCTTATTTAAAATAGGATGTTTCCTGATAAATTGTGGGTGTTAATTAATGTTCTTCACAAAAACAATCAATGAATGTGTAAACTAAACTACCAAAGGACAAAGGAAGGACTGGAATATTCCTATAGAAAAAAAGAAAAAAACTCACATATAATACTTACAGTAATTGTACTTACCCAGTAGGCAGAGTCTGCTATTTCAAAGACATACCAAAGCATTGGAAAACATGTTATCATCATGGTATTGATTGATTTGGTACAGGCATATAGCCTGTGTGCATTCATTCTGCAGCTGCTTTATTGAGGTATTTAATTATTATAGAAGAAAAAAAAATGTGCAACCTCGGCTCTCATTCTTAGGCAACATTCAACAACACTGACTTAAACTATCTTGAAGCACTCAGATGGACTCAGATTGGATTCCAAGTTTTGTTTTTATGTTTGTGTGCAGGAAGTCTGCAGATCTGGTATCATCTGCAGATACACAGGACCCCAGATGTGTTCAGTCCCATCCTCAGCAGCCTGGCAGACGGACAAATCCACCGAATCAGAATCCACCGTGAGGGCAAAGACCTCTATGTACAGGTGAGCAATGGACATATTAAGTCATACATGTGGACATGCAATGAGCTCTCCTGTCTGTTATTAACTGTGTTTGTATGTTCATATTCTGCACCGGGTTCTACTGCAGGAAAGTTTCTGAGAACAACACAATAGAATTTAACCATAATCTCAATAACACGTTGGTGATTAGAGCCACACTCTACTGTACTATAATTAAAATGCAAAGCTCCAGATAACCTTTGGCCAGACTTGTTAAAAAAGATGACAGTCACCTCTTGCCCTGGTTACCCGGTGTTTTGGACAGAAACACCACTAAATGACTGGCAAAGACAAACAGTCTTTAGAGAGTTATTAGCAGAGAAGTTTAAATTCATCTACAGTTTGTTATTGAACTGAGTAAATTATTGTCAATGTTTTAACGCATGTTAATTTACATTTAAACTTCAGAATAATTAATCAGCAAAACTTTGATGGTTGTTTTGTTTATTGGTTGACAGTCTGGTGCTTGATGTAGAAAATGTAACTAATTAATTTGCCATGTGTTTTTTGACATAATTACTCCAATTGACCCTTTTCCTCTTTGGAAACCACAGTCAACTTTCTGCTAATGTTAGCAAAACACTAGCTAATTGCCTCTCCTCTCACTCTGTGGCACGGTCACTCACCATGATCCCAAACCAGCAGGTCAAGGAAATAACTAAAGAAAATCCAGTGATACATATTGTTCCACACCATGTGCATACAACCCTCAGGCCTCCAATGATCTTTTTCTTTGGTTAATGCGAGGCGTTTCAATAGGATTCAGTAGGAACCGATCCTGGCTCATATTTGGGTTGCTGTTTGTTAAGGGGTCTGTCAGTCTTGAGCAGGAAGTTCAAGTATTTTTATTCAAAACAATTTGTTGTGAATCCATTTATGAGAAAGCATCCTTGTTAAAGCAATAGGAATAAGATTTAAAGTAAAATTTACAACTTTACTTATTTTAACTGCTGGCATAATAATAATAAAAAAGGCCTGCAATACTATTAAATTAGTAGCATCTCCAATATTCCAATATTATATATATAATTATATTTAAATAACAACAAAAAACATTATTAATTCAATTCAATGCAATTCAATTTTATTTGTATAGCGCCAATTCATAACAGAAGTTATCTCAGGACACTTTTCAAATAGAGCAGGTTTATTATTTATTTATTATTTAGTTAGAACTCTTAAAGAATTCTTAAACAAGGGCCTATGACATTTCTACACAGATGAAGGTCCTTTTGGCAAGCACAACACATAAGATAAGTTTGATTCTATGTATTAAAAGTCTTACTTTCCACTCCACCAGATCGACCAGGACATCCACACAAACGTACCACGCCTGCTCAATCAATGCAGAGCTGATCTTAATCAGCTCCCTGACATTGGGCAAAGTCATCAGTAAGTCCTATCATCTTGAGAAAAGGTTGAGTCAACAGAATGTATCATTTCCTGCAGCTTTTATTTAATTTTGACTGCCACATACAGTGTAACCATGCAGACCTGAGACCAATTAGGTTTATCCATATTAGTGGAGGTAAATACACCAAGCCACAGCTTAAAAGTTGAGCCACACTGGCATAGTGTTTTTCCATTGCACAGATTGTTTACTTGGATGGCATCTTGTAGGTGTGTTGCCTGCAGCCTTTCATCTAACAGTTTAATGTTTCTGTTTGTACTGTTCCTCCATACAATGTTTTAAACGGATCCAGTAAATAGCACAGAATATGTCCATATCTGGTTTATTAGCACCACTAATGTAGCCCGACTGCAACATAAGGTTTGTTACATAGAACCATCTGGGAAGTCGTCGTCACAAACTGTTTGGAAAAGGACAGGCCCTTAAAAAAAATACTTGGATGATTGGATGAACCATTGGCTTATCACCATCCTTTACAGGCAAACTTCAACCAATCAGATCAACTAACTACATGTCAGTCGGGAGAAGACAGAAAACATCTATTCGATGGAGAAAAGCCCTCAGTGCTGTTCTTAACTCTTCTTTCAGTGAAGAAATACTCAAATAGAACTGATCCTAACAGCATCTATGCTAACCTCTTTAGCAGCCGCCATTGTTGTTTTCACGCAAACAGTCACATTGTGTGTGACCAGGCTGAGCTCAGCCAATGACAGAAGCTCAACTCACTATACGTCATTGCCACTGGCTCCAAAAAAACAACATGGTAATGGGCAAACTCAAGGCTTCAAAACGGTACCAATGGGTGATGTCAGAATAGATTCACACTTGGTTGTCAGGCAGCTACAGTAAATGCACTGTGTCTGGCAGTGAGTTTAGCATTGCTTTGTTAGCGATGCTACTGTTCAATAGGCCTTTGCTACAAAATATGCACATTTCTAGTACAATTTTATCACTGGATCATTTTAAAATATTGCAGAGAGGAATAGCAGCTTTCTGACAAAGATTAATTGTTTGAAAATCCTTTCACATTAATCTGTTTGTCTATCTGTCTGTCTGTCTAGGAAGAGACATCTTCCAAGAGGAGGTACTTTTAGCAGGTTCAAAGGGTTTCATTGGCTGTCTTTCCTCAGTCCAGTTTAATCATGTGGCTCCTCTGAAAGCAGCGCTGCTGAATCGAGGGAGCTCATTGATCACCATCCGGGGGCCATTGATGCAGTCAAACTGTGGAGCGCTGGCAGACTCCATCACATCCAAAAATCTGCGAGGTAACACACGCCATCAGCCCTCTCAGACTAAAGACGGGAAAGAGTCAAATGATGCAGACAGCACTAATTATGTCAAGGCAACTCGTAACTACTTTTTGGCAGCCAGCAGCTACTTTCTGGGAAGAGTGCTGGGAACACTGCCCCTGCAATCATGCCGTGTTTTTTTACAGCATGATGAATGTCTGTGGGTTCAGATATATTAGTTACAGGCCAAAATGACAAATAACAAAAAAGCATAGAAGGAAAGTTTTTTTACTTAATTATGTTCTTGTCTTTATTGGTTAATTTGATAATTTTTTAAATATCTTGTATGACAAACTCATTCCTGAATTAAGGAGCAAAATATCTCTATAAATATGGCACGGTCTGAAGTATGCTGCACGACTTTGAGTCATTTGTTGTAATCTGTGTCATTATTACATTTTAGGAGTGAATTGAAATCAGTAACCTGAAACCTATCTGTATAATGAAAGCTATTTCTTATTGTTTTACACTGAGCAGTATATGTTGTAGAGCAACAGAAAGAAAAGAGCACTGTGTATTTACTAATTTTATGAAGTTAATGAATTTCTACCCTCTGTTTCCACAGATCAAACTGCAACAACAAATAAAGATAAGGAGCAGCATGGCGCTGATACTCAGAATGATGTGGCTGTAATAGCAGGTCCGTGTTCCTCTTTTGTGCTTATTTTTTTGTCTTCCGGTTATTGAAAATAAGTCTTAATCTGCCTCCATCATTATTTATACTGGTCTGTAGCTCAAGCTCATTTGCACTATGGATTCTATTCCCTCGACTACATTGGTTAGGTATCTTAGTGAATCGCTATCTCAGTGCGCTTTATATACATATATATATATATATATTTTTTTGTATTTGGTGAGGACACATATAACACTGGGCACTAGGCAGGATTTATTCAGGGAAGCACACAGCATGGAGCCCAGTAGCAGCGTTATTATTATTCTTCTGTTGGTAACACTGGTACTGCAGCCTACACCCTAAGAGCTATGTAAGTGAAACTGACAGGACAGATATAGACTACTACATGTACCTCAGACACAAAGAATTACACGTCCACCAGCAGGTGCCACTATCAAGTGTGTTCTGGCCTATAACTCCCATATAGTACATCGCACATTTACTAAATTGAGCGGCACTCTGTGATATAGGCCATGCCCATTTCCACCTGTAATTTCTTTTTTTTTTGCAAAACTGCGAAATATACAAAACCTACTTTTTGAACTGAGCCAGATCTGCATAAAATTGTGCAGACAGAATCTATGGACCCTCATGACCAAACGTTATAAAAAAATTTAGATAATCCAAAACACACCTAAGTTATAAAGGAACAGCTACCTTTAGGTTGCAGTCATAACAGGAAGTGATATCATACATAGGTCAGTCCGATGAACACACAACTCATGGTGCTGTTTCATATTCTACTGGTCATTGTGCAGCATATAGCACCGTTGATTTTACACAGTCAAGTTGATGATGCATCTGATTAATGCATACAATGCTTAATGCTTGCTTAATGGTTCTAAGGCCACTGAGTCTCTATGCAAAATTTAGCGCCAATCAGCCACTAGGTAGCACCTTATAGAAAATCGTGGAATATGTTAAATTGACAACCTGTGACTTGTATCGCACCCGTGAGCCTGCAGGTCCGACTTACGTCGCCATCGTGGACTGTCAGGTGCAGCTTGTGCCAGGGGGACTTAGAAAGTTATTTGGAAGTTGGTTTCAAAACATGGAAACATTCAGTGTAGGGCAGGACAACAACAGAGTTTTTGTACCAGCTACTGCTAATTTGTGTATTTCCTGGCTGCTCCTCAGGTGTGGTGACAGTGGTGGTGTTCATTGCAGTTTGCATCCTTGCTGTTGTGACTCGTCGACTGTACCTGCGACAGGCCCACAGGACCAACCACAGCATCAAGGAGAAGGAGCATCACCATAGTGTGGAGACGGGAAACAGGACGGAGCTGCACCTCCACAACTCTGTCAGGGACAACATGAAGGAGTACTACATCTGACTATACCATGAAAGGACTCTACCTTCTGATACATGGAAGGAGTACTACATCTGATTACATGAAGGGGTACTACATCTGGCTATATGAAGGAGTACTACATCTGGCTACATGAAGCAGTACTACATCTGGCTACATGAAGGAGTACTACATCTGACTACTGCATCTGACTACTACATCTGACTACATGAAGGAGTTCTACATCTGAATATACAAAGGAGTACTGCATCTTACATGAAGGAGTACTACATCTGACAGCGGCAAGTGCTCTGCATACCTCTGTCATACATGGGGCAGACAGTTTAGATGTGCTGTTGCAGCATTGCTTAAAAGCTGAGCTCCAGCCATACATGTTCACCAGGGGCACAGTGAACACCTGGGACCTTCCTGCTGTGTGTGGACACAAGGTGCAAACTTTATGCATATATTTGACGTCGCTGTGAAAGATGGAACTGCTTTCAAAGCAGCAGATGAGTAAAAGAGGAAACCTACTGCACCTCCTGAATGTGAACATTTTCCAAATGCTGAATATTTCTCCATTGTAGTAGAATATACTTACTGATACCTGGAAATCAAGAGAAGTAAGATATGCACACGTTTGCTGCCGTCCTTTTTAGTTTGGTGGTGAATGTTGTAGTGTTGACAGGGAAGAGCAACAGGGGGCCAGTACTGCCTACTGTATGAGTGCCTAATTTGTCCACAAGTTTTTCTTTTAACATTTTAGAACTTTTCTTTTAATTTTTTGGAGAGATTGGCACCACAGGAATCATATTTCCATATGCAGAAGCTTGTTATCTTTCTGCATACAATAAAAAAGAAATGGAAATATTCACTCAATCACATCAGCTATTTCACCATTAGGCCAAGTTTGTATGTTTCTGTCATTGACCTGTTTTGCACTGCACTGTTCAAAGTAGTATAAAAATTAACAGGCTAGAAAAATAATAATTAAAAGCTGCAGAAGGTAACTTTTATTAAAAAAATATTTTTTGTTAGATTTGCTGAAATCATATCCTGAGAGTAGTACATGAGACCGATAATCTGTGAATAAATCACACTATAGAACTAGAAGGAGCCAGAGGAACCAGATTTTTTCACAGATCATTTGTCTCATGTACTACTCTCAGGATATTGTTACGTTTCACTAAACACAACCAAAAGTTATTTTTATAGAAGTTGAATTAATTGAGCCTTCGTAGGTTTTTTTTTGCTCTGTGCTCCAATACCAGTTTAGCAAGCCTTGGTCAGAACCTTCGTCAACTTTCTTTTTTCCTGTACTTAGATATGCTATGTGATGCTATGCTATGCTAATCTATGTTGAAAAGACAAACACATTTTGAAGATGGATAAAAGATAAACGCAACATACAGTATACATAGTCACATATTAACTTAGCTAATGTTAACGAATTGCTAGCTAACTAGCGAGCTAATGTACGTCCATCATCAGCTATAAAGTTAGCTGCCTAGTTATAAGACAGCTTACGACCGATGTAGATTAGCTGGCTAGTTAGTTACAGTTTTGCTAACATTAGCTGGCTATCTTAAGATGTGGCTATACTGTGTATTTCACTTTTATATCATCTAGGTTGTCTTTTCAGCAAAGATTAGCCTTGCACATAGCATATCAAAATACCGAAAAGGAGAAAGTTGACTAAGGTTCCAAAAAAAGGTGGGACCTAGGAAGCGTCAATTATTTTCAATTCAGAGGTGTACCATATCTAAATATATAAAAAGGTAGATACTGTGTTCTTCGATTAGACGTGTGTCTGTGCGTATCTGCGCACATTGAGAAGGTCAAGATTGCTGCACTACAAAATCAACTGTAACTCGCTTAATTATGAACCCATTTTCATGAAATTAGTTTTTTTTCTAAAGGTAAGAAATTGCTGACAAAAATGCAGCAGACATGTACTGCGTTTGCCACAAAATGTTCAAAATATTCAAAACAGGCACTGATAACAAAAACATAGCCAGTGCTAGTCAGACCAGCAAAACAATTAATACATGGTACTAGTGTGTGAGAGGTGGTGCATAAACACATGGTACAAATTACTGTCCAACCCATGAAACTGGCAAGGGAAAATAATGAATTTATCCTGTAGACAAATTTCACATTTCACTAAAACAAGCAACCAGGTGGTTTTATAACAATATATATATTCTATAATAAATATAGAAATTTACATTTTTAGAGAAACTGTCAAAAGCTAAAAATCTAAATAATTTACACTTGACGTAGCCTTCTCATAATCATGTCGTAGCCTGCGTGTCCCAGTGGAAGGTAAATATTTTGGTTTAGGGCTGATTAGCTCCGCCCCTAGTGACTGAATTCCAACCAGTAACCAGTAGCCAATCAGGTTCACTGTCTCACCTTTAGACAGTTTTTAGTTTCAGTCAATTTTGTAGTGAAGTCTGCATCTCTTAGTATTGTCAACTAGCAAATCTTACAGCACCAGCCAGTGTTACTGTATCTGTCATTTTTGGCATTACCCAGGCCAATTACGCAAAAAGGGCCAGATGTTAGCTTATGATTATCGGTTCATTTCTTACTTATTCGGATCAAAGGGATACGTTTTTTTTGTTAGTTTGTTGTTGTTTTTTTTGCCATTTTACATGTTTATATACATATATACGTATATAATCATTGAGTCATGTCATGTGATTACTTCTCCTTAATGATTTGTACAACTGCAGTTTTATTAGGGGTATATTGTAAAGATGGATAATTTAATAATAAAAGTAAATATATTCTTATTCATTTGTTGTAACATGGTTTTGTTTGAAATTAGAAAATGTTACACCATATAGCCACACATAGCCAAAAGTATGTGGACAACCCTGTTTTCTCTGGTTTGGCCTCTTAGTTCCAAAAGAGAGATATCTTAGGGCGTTTTCACACATAAATACATGATTTATACTGAGTAGTCCGTGACAGGCATGTAAGCGCAATATCTGTATATTCAGTAGCATTTTGGTTGATGCTGGGAGAATTGGGCATGCTGTTGTGGAGTGTTTGTTCACGAACAACTTGGTATCTGTTTTTAATCCTAATCGCTGTTAGTTCCAAGGCGTAACACTTTTAGGCATTTTATCGAGAAAACCAATCCCCATACAGCTATATGTCTAATGTGGGCTTGTTTTTCTGTACCTTTAATACAAGTTATCTGTGAGCCGCTTCGAGGGCGGAGGGAGTTATATAGCTTTGCCCAGTTCCAGAGAGGCGTTGGAGTTATGATTTTAAATTGGTATCTATTAACAGAACTTTGCGTCTGTGTCTTAGATTGCTAGTCACTCATAATATAGTTCCCGAATGGTATCGTTCATCAAACGTATATGTTCGGGAGCATATCTGGAGAGGAGTGATCGCAGATATTGAAACGTGAGAGTCGGTGGTCGTATTACTGTTCGTCATCTCTCCGTTTGAGGGTTATACGAATAGTCATTTTACTTGAAGATTCGATGATCTTGTGTTGAAAGATGATTCGTGACCAGATAGAGAATGCGTCTTGAGGTGTCTAGTGAGGGAAAGGAAGGGAGGAAGGCCGGTCTTAGAGAAAGGGAGATCCCTATCTGAGTGGTGGACTGCAGAGAAGTTTACATTTTGCTGCGGACGTAATGAGCAGTATGCAGACGCTCTATTGAGTCGCGGTCGTTCGCACTTAGTTGGGTCGTGTTACCTCACGAATAGATGGATTGGTACATGGGATGAATAAATTCAGATGTCTAGGCTCGCATCATATAGTCATTTCCATAGTTCGATTTACCGTGGCTATGTGCTGATGAGGCGAGCTTGACGAGCATTGGGTGATGACGCATAAGATGCTAGTGGGGAGTGAGCCATAAAAGTCTAGTGAACCGGGATCTAGTGTTAGCCCATCAGAGGAATTAGAAGCCTTTCCTTAGGCGCCCGTTCAGATATATTCTCTGAGTTAGGATTTCAGTCAGTCTGTTTCATCGTTGTAGGATAAGCAATAAATCTGATAGGCGGGGCTAGAAAACTTTCATGCTTCGCTGATTCTATATCCCATGTCGGATCCCCGAGTAAGATTTCTCTGAAGAAAAGTAAGTAAGTATGCAAATGTTATTC